GGCATCAGAGGTAAGAAAGTGAGAAAAATAATGAATCTGTATCTAAACATCTTGCCTGGTATCACAGGCACCCCTAAACATAATATTGTATAGGCAACTATCTGCTTATTAGCTCCTTCCATCAGAAAATTGTTGTCTGACGCTAAATCATGGACCATTATGAATAAGTTCAATGCATGGTGCTGGTTACGAAGAGAATAAGATTCACTAAGCTTCCCTTTTTCAGGAAAAAAATACTAAAAGTGCTTACAGGTTGATTAAAACATCTTTGCTTTATTAAAAAATAATTTTAATAACAAAAGGAATATTCACTGAAATATGCTATGAAAGTTGTACCATTTCTTTCACAAAAATACACTGAACTCTATTGTATACAAGGATTGCTCAAAATAAAAATTATAATAAAATTCTGAAACTTATTACAATTTAATGGTAAACAGACTTTGCTTTTAGAAAACCTTTTGATGTACATATAGAGAATACTTATATGATAATTATACAACTAGACAAATTTTCAAAAACAAAATTAAAAATACTCCTTTAAACAGGACCCAGACCAAGAAACAAAACATTACCAGAATCTCCCAAAGCCTACTGCATGTCCCCTCCTCAGACACCTCCCTCTTGCCCCCAAGGAGTAATTACATTCTTGACGTTCACCACTATAGATTAGTTTAATATTTTTGAACCATACGTAAGTGGATGCCTACAGTATATATAATGTTACTCAACAACATTTGTGCAATCCATTTAAGTTGTTGCATGTGGCTGCAGTACATTCATTCTCATAGTTGTATAGTATCCCTTTGTACAAATATATCACCACTGTCTCTCCACCTTGGGATTTGCCCCATTCTTCTGGAGTCACCAGGCAAGCAGCACTTGGGAAGGCTGGCGGGTAGGGAGCTCACAGTCTGAGTATCCCTCAGTCCACCGTAGGGCCCCAAAAATAAAGTCTTGTCCCCTGTGGATGCCTCCCAGTGGTGGCTAAATTGTCTCTCTCTCTCTCTCTCGTAGCCATGGATAGGGGAAAAAGAAGCAATATGGTGACTGCTGATCCGCTGGGGTCTGCCAGCCAGGAGGTGCCCAGAGGGATCTGGGAGCCTGGTGCCTCGAAGGCAAGAGGCTCACCACTCTCTGGAGGCAGCCATCTATGGGCTGGTGTTGGCAGGTCTCTCCAACCGCTCAGGTGCCCACCAGCAGTCTGAGATTCAAGGGAGGGGAAATTTAACTGCTCCACCTACCCTTGTCACTGGTCTCTAAGCATTTTGAGTTTTAGACCCTGCTAATACCTTTCTTTTCAAAAGGAGATAAACTAATGGCCAAAAAACATATGAAAAATGTTCGACATCTCTAATCATCAGGGAAATGCAAATCAAAACTAAAATGAGGTGTTACTTATCTCCAGTGAGAAATAGACTATCAAAAAGTCCCAGAATAATAAATGTTAGTGTGGATATGGGGAGATAAGAACACTCCTACACTCCTGGTAGGACTGCAAACTAGTACAGCCTCTGTGGAAAGTAATATGGAGATACCTCAAGAATCTAAAAGTAGAACTACTGTTTGATCCAGCAATCCCACTACTTGGTATCTATCCAAAGGAACAAAAGACATTCTATGAAAAAGACATCTGTACTCGAATGTTTATAGCAGCACAATTCACAATTGCAAAGATGTGGAAACAACCCGAGTGCCATCAATCCATTAGTGGATTAATAAAATGTGGTATATGTATACCATGGAGTTCTACTCAGCCACAAAAAACAATAGTGATCTAGCACCTCCTGTATTATGCTAGATAGAGCTGGAGCCCAGTTTAGTAAGTATCACAAGAATTTTAAAACAAGCACCACATGTACTCTCCATCAGATTGGTATTAACTAATCAACACTATGTGCACATATAGTAGTAACATTCATCAGGTTTTGGGCAGGTGAGGGGGGAGGGAGAGCATGGGGACATGCACACCTAATGGGTGCAGTGTGCACTGTCTGGGAGATGACACACTTGAAGCTCTGACTCAGGTGGTGCAAAGGCAATGCATGTAACCTAAACATTTGTACCTCCAAAATATGCTGCAATAAAAAAAAATAACAAAAGAAACTTTAAAAGCCACACTTTTCACTAAGAATTGTCATATTCCCTTTCCCCAATGTCAACCACTCATATTTCATTGATTTCATGACTATATCACATTCTCTATACTTAGTACGTTCCTGAATTGTGTTTACTGTATTCTATTAAGAATCTATTACATTTAAAACTTTTGATAAGATCAATGTTTATTTTTTGTATTTCCTGCAGTCCCTAGTGTGAGGATTTGCAAAGGTAATTGCCTACTAAATATTTATTGTTAAGTATTTTAGGCTGTTTATATGGAGAATAGAGTTCAAAGAGTAGAACTACACTGACTTTTGGGAAATTTTTTCTAATATAGCTCATATGTGCAAGGGTGATTTGTTTAGGAATTTTTGCATGGATAATAAATACTCTAAGAATAGGAGTACCACTTTATTCTAAAAATAATTTTAGTTTGCTATTACTATGTATACTTCTTTGTAAAATGGGAAATTACTTAAAATTTGACTTTCTCTTCTTCCTCAAATTCTTCCCAACAGATAACAGTTAAATTCTCCAGATACAAGGTGATATTGCATTGTCATTGTAACTTGCATCTCCCTGATATTTAGAAATATTGAACACTTTTTAATGTATTTTTTATGTATTTTTAAGGGACTTCAAAAGGTTTATTGACAACTGAAATTAAAAGTTAAAAATAAAAATACAAACTTTACTTCTCAACATAAGCTCCATGAAGTTCAAGACATATTTGTAAGCAATGATACCAGCCATTTAGTGCATCCCGAAAGAACTCAGGGTCCTGGGAATTTAACCAGGTCAGTGCTGTCCTTTTTACTTTAATTGAAGAAAAATTAATGCTCTTTACAGATTTTTAAGATTAGGAAACAAAAAGAGTCAGAGGGAACCAAATCAGTAAAGTAAGGTGGATGCCTAATGATTTTCATTGACACTCTTACAAAATCCCCCTTTTTTGATGAGAGGTATGAGCAGGAACATTATTGTGGAGAAGGGCTCCCTGGTGAAGGTTTCCTGGACATTTTTCTGCTAAAGGTTTGGCTAACTTTCTCAAAACACTGTCATACTAAGCAGATGTTATTGTTCTTTGGCCTTCTAGAAAGTCAACAACTAAAATGCCTTGAGCTTCCCCAAAAAACTGTTGCCATGACTTTTGCTTGTGACTGGTCCATTTTTGCTTTGACTGTATCACTTTTAGCTATTAGTAGCCATTGCTTTGACTGTGTGTTGTCTTCAGGATCGTACCGGTAAAGCCATGTTTCATCTCCTGTTACAATTCTTTGAAGAAATGCTTTAGGATCTTGATGCCACTTGTTTAAAATTTCCATTGCAACTCTTGCCTGCAGCTGTTCTGGGCACAAGAATTTTGATCCATCAAGCTTACTCAATTTTTAATTTTTCAGTCAGAATTGTGTAAGTTGAACCAGTTGAGAGGTTTATGGGGTTGGTTATATTATTTCTTCTGTTAATTGTCATTCCTCTTCTATTATGTCATGAGCAAGATGAATCTTTTTCTCACAATGAATGTGGATGGTCTGCTAGTGATGGCTTCATTTTCAACATTATCTTATCCCTTCTTAAAATAAATTATCTATTTATAAACTGCTGACTTCTTTGGGGAATTGTCCCCATGAACTCTTCATTAAGCATCAGTGATTTCACCATTATTCCACCCAAGCTTCATCATAAATTTGATGTTTGTTCTTGCTTCAGTTTTAGCAGAATTCATGTTAATGTAATTGGTGCACTTTTCAAACTAATGTCTTATTCTTCTTAGTGCCTCAAACTAGATCCTGTTTTGATATGTCATGACAACTTAGTATAAGTTCATTCTGGTATAAAAGTTTTTTTGATATCCATGTATAGTTTTTTCATAATATGCATTTTTACATGATCATTTTGAACTCCCCTCATACTTGTTAGACAGTAGCATGTCTTTTTTTTTTCAAGAAATGCCTATTTAGATCCTTTTCCTGTTTTTAATGAGGTTATTTGATTTCTATTGAGTTATTTGAATTCCTTATGTAGTTTGGATATTAACCTGTTATCAAATGTATGGTTTGAGAATATTTTCTCCCATTCTGTAGGTTATATTGATATCTTAAAACCATTCTTTTCTTTTTCTTTGTTGTGCAGAAGCTTCTTAGTTCAATAAAATCCCATTTCTCTATTTATCCTTTTGTTTTATGTGCATTTGAGGTAATATCCAAAATATATATTTGCCAAGACCAATGTCAAAAAGGTTTATTTCTGTTTCTTTTAGTAGTTGTACAATTTCAAGTCCCAGTTATGGGACTTGAAATATTTAACTCTTTTTGAGAAGATTTTTGTATATGATGTGAGATAAGGGTCTAATTTTCATTCTTCTGCATGTAGTTATCCAGTTGTTTCAAATGATTCGAAGAGACTGTCCTTTCCCCATTTTGTGTTCTTGGCACCTTTTTCAAAGGCAGCTGATCACAGATACATGGATTTATTTCTGGGTTCTCTATTCCCTTATTAGCCAGATATAAACCTAGCATATACACCAAGGCAATCTGGCTTCTTGTCTTATGCAGTATCAAGTAATCTACACATGTAAATGAGCTATCATACACATACACAGACACACACATACACATGCACACTTTTCTTAGGTTTTTACTATATCCCTTAGGAGGGCATGACACATTCTATTAAAGCAGAATTCTCAAATTAGTAATCATTGAATAGTAGAGTGATTAGTATGCATCAGCATTTTTGAAAATTTTTAATGTTCACTTATATCTTGAAATTATGAAATTCATTTGGCTGTGTTAAAAAGTGTTTGATAAAATGTCTACTGTAAGTGGCTGTGTGTGTGCTGATAACATTCTTCCAAGTTTGCAATTGTAAACTTGGATGAATCTTACAATGTTAGGTCACGAGGAACCTACCTTTGATCTTAGAGCTTTCTTAGCTGCGTCTTTTACATCTTTATTTCTCAGACTATAAATCAGTGGATTCAGCACTGGAATGAAAATAGTGTAGAAAACGGAGATAACTTTGTCAGTGTTGGGAGAATACAGGTAGCTTGGTCGTGAGTAAATGAAGAGAAGTGTCCCTTGATAGATGGCCACAGAAGTTAGGTGAGAGGCGCAGGTAGAGAAGGTTTTCTTCCTCCCACTGGTTGAGCGGATCTTTAAGACTGAGAGGAGAATGAAAAAGTAGGAGATGATGATGATAATAAAGCAGATAATTTCCACTGAGCTGCCATAGGTGGAGAGGAGCCACTCATTAATGGATGTGTCTGTGCAGGAGAGTTTAAGCAGGGGAGGGAGGTCACAGAAAAAATGATTAATCACATTTTTGTCACAGTATTTCAGAATAAAGGCAAAGGAGGTGTGAACCAGGGAACTCATGTTGCCACCAATATAGGACAGGACAATCAGCCGTATGCAGATGCCCCGGGACATCACAACTGTATACAGTAAAGGGTTACAGATGGCGGCATAGCGATCATAGGCCATCGCAGCCAAGATAAAGGATTCTGTATCTGCGAAAGTACAGAAAAAATAAAACTGTAAGGCACAGCCATAATAGGAAATAGATTTGTTCTCTGAGAGGAAATTGACCAGCATTTTGGGAACAATGACTGAGGAGTAACAGAGGTCTACGAAGGACAGGTTGCTAAGGAAAAAGTACATGGGCGTTTGAAGGTGAGGATCAATCCTGATCAACAGCATCAACCCAATGTTCCCAATTAGGATTATACCATACAATGTCAGAAACACGAGGAATAGGACAATCTGCAGTTCAGGGCGAGTTGGAAACCCTAATAAAATAAACTCAGTCACCAAGGTGTAGTTTCCCTCTGCAAATTCCATCTTCTGTGTTGTTTCTCTTTATAAGAATTTTAGCATCCTGAAATGTTATATTACTGGAAAAAAGAAAAATAATTAGACAAATCCATAAGGTGATGGCATTCTATTTAAAAAACAAGTAATCAAATAAGGAAAAGAACCTTGAACCTCTTTCAAATATAAATGCTGAGTGTTATATCTCAGAATTTAGTATCGTATTTCATGCTTGCATATTTTATACTACTTGCTTGATTAATGGCTACATCTTCTGTTGTACCATTAGTTTCCTGTGTACAAGAGTCATATCTGATTTTGCTTACCTCTTTGTATTCTTAATAGTTCAGAATAGCTGGCCCAGAGTATTAAAGGAAGTATTCAATTAATGAACAGACTGGTGATCATATAAAAACATAAAAATATGTAAATTATTAAAATAAATTGACTTATAGAGTTATCCTAAAAATGAGAATTTTAGAACAATTTGTTTTTTCTGCCCAGAATTTGATAAATATGCTAATATGTTATTTCTCTTCACAGAGTGATTACAGTGATATGATGAAATATGCTAGCTATTTTTTTTTCAATATAAAACACATGCTTTAGTAAAATGAAAATACATGTCAGCAAATATCAGCTCTGAGTATATTTTGACATGAAAGAGCTTAGGGTAATTCTATAAATTTTATTCATATCTAAACCACTCTGAGAAAATTAGCTATTTGTTTCTGTCCTTCTAGCAATTATTTCAATCCTTGGCTCTTAGGAAATGCTCAGTGTACATTAGTGGACTGATTGAGTACAATAAGAAAAATATTCAGTTATAAGTTAACTTGCAATTAAATAAAATTATTCTACATGGCATCTTCCTTGATTAAATGTTATGAGCAACAAAATACAGCTGCATTTACTTTTATGTTAGTTTAATATAAGAAATAAAATTTCTTATATTTGGGCTCTCAAATTATTTCCGTAAGAACTTTAAATTGACTTTGAAGTACAAGAAATTGGATGTTGGCCGTGGAGGATGGACTTGAAACTATGTAAAACAAATAAACAAGCATCCAATACCTATGGTTCATTTTGAAAGGTCCAGGAAGAGAATTAAAAGTATGTCTGAGTCACTACCTCATTTATGTAATAAATATTATGACAATTTTATGAAAGTACTGAGGGCCTTATTTGTTTATTTCATTTAATCAGTAAAACCACCCATGACATAGGCACAAAGAAGCCTATTGATAATCAGAAGGATTAATCACTGGCTCAAAGTGCTGTCTATGTTAATGCCTCAAATAATGTAAATGGGATGCAGCAATATAGCAGGACAATGGTTAATTATTCTTATTTTGTCTGTTTTAAAAATAATCAAGGTATTTAGAAAGTGTAAGATACGGCTTTCGAGATAGCAAGAATTTATTTAGAGTCCTATATTGGCTGTATGTGGGCTGTGTGACCTTGTAAAATGTAATGTAAATCATCTTAATCTATACTACAACAATGACAACAAATATCATAGTGGATTTCTGTATTCATTAAATTAGGAAAATCTCTCTCTCTCTCTCTCTCTCTCTCTCTCCCCCATTTATGCTCCCATTTAGAGATATTGACATATAGTAGTGTTTTATTTATTTATTTTTTTTTGAGAGTATCCAGAAACAGAATATAGTAGTGTTTTATAAACAGCAAAAACTAGTACCAAATTCTACACTGCTCACTTTTATTCTTAACTTATGCTAGAGTTTGCTGTCAAAATTGTATTAACAATAGGTGTTACTTAAATGGTGCTTATTCTGTATAAAACAATATTCTTAACACTTTACCATTTAACTGTCACCAAATTAACTAACACAATTACCATGGAGTTTCTATCATTATTATCTTTTTCTTAAAAATGAGAGAAACTAAGAAACCAAGAATTTGAGATAATGAAAATATGATAAAAGCAGGATTGGAAACACAGATTGTGACTCCAAAGCCTCATTACATATTGGCTGTCCATAAACCAGATTCACATAATATTATTAACTCTATAATTTGGGTGAGAACATTTATGTTTAGAGTAATATTCCAATGGCATACAGCCGAGACTTAGCAGTTGTGATTCAAATTCAGGTGTGTTTGAAGTCAAAACCCATGAGAGCGGGCATGAAGATGGTAAAAATAATAACTCACATATTTCCTCAAAAAAGCATGGTGTGTACTATTGGGAAATTCACATTGACCATTCCTTCGGGTAGTCTAAAAATTATATTTAGTGGCATGTTAAATGGGAGACAAGTGGCATGAGGTTAGAGGTAGAAAAAGACAGTGATCCTTTGATTCTTGTTTTAAAGGGAATTAACAAAAATATCTAATCGAAATACTATGGTTCACTAAATTTTTATTAAACATATGACAAAATAATCTTAGGTTAGGAAATAAATTAATTCAAGTTATCAGATAGGTAGTGCAAATTATCAGCTAGGTAGTCATGCTTCAATTCTCTTATATGTAACAAAAAGCTATTTAAACAAAAGGTGTTTCAGATCCTTGCAGAAGCTACATAAGAAAGAATGACTCAAGGAGGATTACCTTGTAAGCACAATACTGGGTGATAACTAGGCTTTCCCAACCATTTGAACACAAATCAGTGGTTTATACTCTCAGACTGCAGAAGTTGATTTTTTTTTGCACATTACTACCAGTCTAATAACTGAAGAAGTTACTTACCAAAGAAGGAACTGTTTCCAATTGCCTAGATGAATAATTTCACCAATAAAATCAAGGGATTTTTACATGCATTTTTAAGTCATTGGTGAGGTAGTGATTAATGAATTCCAAACATGCTAATTTCCAAGGGGCTCCTCTCCTAGGGAATAATTAAGAGGATAATTGCCAATGTGAATATTTTTTTCTAAGAACACATTGGTAATTTTAATGATAATACTTTTGTGTTAATTTGAAGAGGTGATTTTTAATCTCAGTGATATTTGGATTGTTTTTTTAATAACACTTCAAAGCCTACAGAAGACCCACTTTATTATGTAGACTCTTTGCAAATTATTCAAATACTTAAAAATGTAACTATTACCATTTAAATTACTTCAAAAGCCACATAGAAGCTCAAAAATTTTCATTTTTATTACCAGTACTGATAATTGTTAAATTATCTTTGTAGCATTGAAAAGTAATTCCTGTGGAGACTTCTGTAGAACTAGTATCAGCAAGTGTTTTCTGACAAAATAGAAGGAGCCTTTTGTACTAAAGAGTATCAAGATAATAGTAAGGCCATCCCAAAGTAAACACAGATTGTAATCACCAAGTTGAATACTCTCATATCCATTGTGCATGAGAGATAGCTTGCTTGGACCTCAGTTCCTAGAGTCTATGCTCAGTTCTTTGCTTCATTCTGGCCCACCATTACAGTATTTTTCATCATAATCACCAAGAAAAAAAGATCAGTTAGCAAGACATGTTAAAATAGAAGATGTAAGAAGTCACCAATCCTTTGCAATTATGAAATACGGTAGGCAAATCTCCAGTTTTCAAACCTGAGAATAATTTCTTTGTGGCTTTTTCTCTACTCTCTGGGCCCTCCCTGAAACTTTTTTAGCCTCCATCCACTGTCCACTTACAAAGAAATTGTTTCATTGTTTAGGTTTTTATTATAGCAGCACTTCTTCAGGTACCAGAATCTCTATTACTGATCTACTGCTGTAGAATAAGATACCACAAAATTAGTGATATAATAGCATACTTTTATGTGTTCACACTTGCAGTGATTTAGGATTATAGACATATTTTAGCTGCACTATAATGCTGGATTCAAAGTTTCATCCATTGGGATCTAATCTGAATGCTTGACTGGGGAAAAAAACCTACTTCTAAGATTACTCAGGATTTTGCCAGAATGTATTACTTTGTGGGTGTTGTTTGAAAGTTTCTATCAGTTCTTAGAGGTCATTTATAATTTTTTGCTACATGTGCTTCCCAAAACACCCCCTGCTGTATCAAAGACAGCAAGAATGATAATTTTCTAACCAGATTTGTTATAATCGCATGTAACACAAATATTTACACAAAATTGCACATAACACATCACTCTATCTATATTCCATTGGTTAGAAGTAACTCACAATTCCTTCCCACACTCAAGGGAAGGAAATTATACAAAATGTGAATGCCAGAAAGTGGAGACTATGGAGCCTCTCTAAATTCTGTTGGTCAATATCTCTAAAAAGTCTACCACTAGCTTCATACTTAATGATGAAATATTGAACTTCCCCCAATAAGATCATAAAGAAACAAGGATATCCACTAACACCACTGATATTCAACAATATAATAGAGGTCTAAACGAGTCCAGTTAGGCAAGAAAGACAAATAAAGGCTTACAAAATGAAAATGAAGAAGCAAAAGACAACAGCATCAAACATGACAAAATTATCTCCATAGAAAATCCCAAGTATGCTAAAAAGTTGTGTTAGAATTAATAAATGATTGTAGATGGGTTATAGTACAGAAGATAAATAAAAAAATACCCTGGATTTCTATACACTAATAGCAAACAAGTCAAAATAAAATTTAAGAAACACTCAGTACATTTTTATAATAAAAACTCCTAACAAAATAGGCATAGGTGGAACATATCTCAAAATTATAAAAGCCATTTACAACAAACCCACAGCCAACATCATACTGAATGGGGAAAAGTTGAAAGCATTCCCACTCATAACTGGAACAAGACAAGCATACCTGCTGTCACCACTTCTATTCAATATAGGACTGGAAGCCATAATCAGAGAAATCAGAAAAGAAAAAGAAATCAAGGGTATCCAAATGGAGAAAGAGATCAAAGTATCACTCTTTGCTGATAATATGATCTTATGTCTACAAAACCCCAAAGATTCTGCCAAGAGACTCCTAAAATTGATAAAAAAAAAAAAAAAACTCAGCAAAGTCATAGGCTACAAAATCAACGTATACAAATCAGTAGCATTCCTATATACCAACAACAGTCAAGCTTAGAATCAAATCAAAGACTT